GAGTTTATAATTGTACCCACTTGAAGCAACTTTTTGGTCCTTATGTTTTCTGTAGCTTATGCTTGCAGTAATTATAATTAAATTATAGCACATGAAGCTTCAGTATTTTAGCACATGAAGCTCTTGGAGTAGGACTTGGTGCTATGAGTAACTTGGAGTAATTTGGTTGCCCAAGCCCAATTAATCACCAACCTACTCCACCAATTCTAGTCAGCTTAACATAAATCCCACTGTTCCCGGTTTGTGCATCCCACAACCATGCTACAAACAAGTTGGTCCAGCCATCTTCTCTTAGATTTGGTTCTACTACAGGTGTTGTTACAATAGAAGGATTGGCAATGGTTCTTTCATGCCTAAGCACAAAAAAAGATGTTTATTTATTGATAAAGGTTGTCTCCAGTGCTCTAAAAAGATTTTCCGAAGCACCTCCAAGTGATTTATCATGCAAACTAAGGGCAATATTCCTTGCTACCAATTAAAGAGGGTAAAAAAAATTCAATTTAAATAATCAACACGAGTAGTTAGTGATTACAATTAATGTATCTTAGCATTGCATTACCCTGCTTCTTCTCATGATTTAGACACTGCATCATATCTGACAAGATTTTTAAATCCATTATTATATGTTTATTTCTCAGAGTCTGGAAGAACTCATACAAAATGAGACGGTGCCCTGCCCCACTGACATAGCTAATAACGCTATTGACGATCACCTGGCCAAGAGGCTCACCGACTTGTGTGGTTATGAGAAGAAATTAGTTGTAGGGTGTACTGAATGTAAAAGAATAATTCAAAAGAACTTGGTTAGTATAACTTTATAAGCTATCTTGTTGCTTGTCTGGGTGAACAATATATTGATCGCGATTTGATTTTTCAGGGAATAACATGTCTTCATGTTGGCGTTCCGGTTTGTGAGCTGATAATTTGCAGTCAGAAGAAGCCCATGCGTACTTTATCGCCTAAAAGACTATCAGATCCTACTGAAGATTTAACGATATTCGTATATCAACATGACATTACTTGCAAGCCTGAGATGGTGAACTTACCTCTTGTCCTTCCTTATTTCTCACAAGCTGATGTTCTCCCTTGTCAATGTTAGTACTTTATATTCTTTCCGACTGTTCTCATCTTCTGTAGCAAGCATTAATAATTTCGTGTGCATAATTTCATGGTACATCTGTCGCATAATTTCGTGTCAGATTACTGGGAGTCGGCAACGAATCTCCATTATATAGGAATGAGATCGTTGGGTTGTCTGCATCATGTAAACATAACAAACATTGGTCCGAAATAAGGCAAATTTGTAGGCATATGGTCTTAACCCTTTAGCAAAAGAATACTCACCCAAAATCAGATGGGAAGGTTGATGAACATATGTGCTATCACCATCAGCCTGTTCAAGTATGATCCGTTCCGATGGAGTAATATGTTCAACTACAAGTCACAAGTCTGTTAGGTATGAATGATCACATAAAACACATAAAAATAAGCTCTGTATATTTGCACAGCCTTAAAACTTGGACTACTTGGGTAAATCTTGTCAACTTCGTCCGCTACGGGTATAACAGCTGGGTCATAGTCGTCAACACTGGTCCCTTCCATCGGTTCTGCAACACATTCAGTCTCATGTGATGGTGCTTGACATGTATAGCTAAATTTGTAGTTGAACATATACCTGGAGGTACATGTATACCCATCATATGTGCTACACATTCAGTCTCCTGGGATGGTGTTTGACATGTATAGCACAATTTGATTCCCCATACGCACCTATGGAATGGCAGTTCCCTGACATTAAATGACCATTGCCTGATGGCAAGAATATTTGAAATAGCAGGGGTGGGAGTAGCAAGCTAACTATACTATGCCTGATGTCCTCTAGATGTTTTGTATGTGTCTATATGTAGTCATCCTGTCTCCATCTTCAATGCATGCACTCAATCTGCTTATTACTTATTTTGTCATACAAAGTGTTGTTTAGCCAAATTTTCCAAAGGATGGTCATTCATACAAAGTGCCCTTCCTACCTTCTATTTGGTATCAATTGAGAATTGTTTTAAGGAGTAGAAACCTTGGTTAGTAGTGTTTCGGTGGAGCTTGAACAAGAAAGACTCTGCTGCTTGCTGGGAGGTGTCGGGGAGGGTCGGAGCACATGAGCATTGACGGATGAAGAGAGAGTAGGCCGGGGATGCGGTGTTCTGAGCAATGTCGGTTGTCTTTGCAGATTAATTATATTGTAATTGCAAAAAACAACATAGCTGCTATTGTTATTTATCTATCTATATTGCTCAAGACAAGAATTTGATTAATGTGGCGACGACTATAATCTGGCTTTCTGGGCTATAATACTTAAGGAATATGATTGTACTAAACTATAATATTAGTGGTCGCAGCTTGTTAAAAGTGTTAGTGTATTGTAAGTCTCAATCAGGCTTGTAATGTCAATTTGTTCTTTGCCATCGGAAGTGATGCACTGCTTTGAACAACTTCCTTTTTATATCTTTTCTGGCCATAGCTATTGAATCCTTTTGAACTTCATCCACAGCCGGACTGTTACAGAAGATCATCCATTTTTCAAGTATTGGCAGGTGATAAACCAAAAGTGTGTACGGTTCACACATGAGAAAGGGATATTGGCAGGTGTCAAGACACGACATTTTTTGCATGATAGAAATTTATTGCATGGTATTCCCTCCTTTCCGGTTTATAGGGCTTATCTCAAAATTTCAGTTTTTCCATTTTATAAGGCTCAATTTGTTTGTTCCCCATCACATGTTCAGACTTTAAGGTGCATTAAATCATTGCATGCAAGTATTAAGAGAAAACTGACCAATGCATGCATGCATTGCAATTAATGCATTCGTAAATACTACCTCTCTCTCAGTTTACAGGGTGTGCACGTGCCCCTAGGTCGTCAATTTGACCAACCTAATACAAGTCTTATATTACAAAAAATATATCAATGCAAACTTCAGATGTTTTATTTTCAAACCGTATAATTTTTGTGTTATATAGTTTATATTAAGGTGATAAAATTGACAACCTAGGTATACACGTAGGACTTGTAAACTGAAACGGAGGTAGTATAATTTTTTGAGGAAAATAAGAGCATTAATTGAGTGCTTTTGCAAACTACAAAAAATATTCCATCACTCATCATCTACCTTGGTTGATGAGATTTTTGAATTGAGCCTTATAAACCGGAAAAGAGGGAGTATATTTAGGACAAAAGGAGCACGGGACTTACCGATGACAATGAAAGGCGGTGAGTGAAGCTGGACTGAAACTTCTTCAACAGGTCAAGTTTCATGAATCTGATCTATAGAAAATGAGTTAATATGACTAATTATTGTACAAAACAATATAAGCTATATGGCAGAAACGACACATTGCGAAATTGAATAGTGCAAACCTACCCCATCATGGATAGAACATCCCAATCAAGCGTTTGACTGTAGAGGAACAAATGGCTCAACCTGTTATCCTAACCCACGTACAGATTTTGCAGGACCCACAATTTCCACCATCCATGGTTGCAGCCCCCAGCCGCGCCGCCGACCCGATGGCGCTTCTGTTGGGGCAGTACGACGCCAACGAGCTCGCCGACATGGCGACCTTGACAGCAGAATTCCACCGTGACGCGAACTTCTCCACAAAAGTCAATGGCTCTTACACAAAACAATAGAATTGCATGTGTGCAACAGGATGCAGCAATGGTATATAAGAATCTCATTCACGCTCGAAGAGTCGCTGATGTGCTTGGAGGAGGGGCAAAGTGAGTTGTCTTCCCATCTCGTTCACGCGTCCGCCCCTCCTTGTTAGTTGCTGCAACATCCTAACCGATCACCCACTTTTTCAGTTTACGGGATGTTTAGTTGGATCAGGGGAGGAGATGGGGGGCGGGCGGCGGGCGGCGGCGGCAGCTCCTGCACTGTCTTCTGTGTGACGGCGGCGACGATCCAGACGTCGGCGGTGGCTGCGATCCGGAGATACGGCAGCAGCGATCTAGACGGCGGCGCCGGCGGGGACGGCGATCCGGAGAGACGGCAACGACGGCGGTGGCTGGGGCAGCAATCCGGAGAGACGGCGGCGGCGGTGGCGATCCAGACGGCGGCGATCCAGAGCGGCGATGGCGGCGGTCCGGAGAAGGGCGACGGTGAGGGGATCGTGCGTGGCGTGGGGTGGGGTGGGGTGCGAGTACGTGCGACCAATTCCCTAGTGTTGGTTTATTTTCGTAGGTCTATTTTCGTAGATTTTTTCTCCGGTTTTTTTCTAGATCGGCCGTGTGGGAGGTGGGAATCAAGCCTGTAGGAAGCTCGCGTGGGCATTGTTTTTTTATTGGTTCGGCGCTGGTGGGAGGTGGGATTGAGGATGGTGGGAGGTCGGATTGAGGACGAAAAAAAACTGTTTCTGATAGGACGAAAATTGATCGGCGGAGACTACCAACTGTTTTATTAGGAGTAAGATACAAATATAAAAAGATCTAAAGGAGCAGATTCAACTGATCTAGTCCATCAAACTAATGAATCCAACGACCTAAACTGCTTCAATGACTAACGTTCAACGTGTTTAACATGTAATTAATATCATATCAAATATTGCACTAATTATAAAATTAATACACAAACAATAATATACTTAATATCCACGTATAATTAATATATATTTTAAATATTAACGTGCAACACATGTAATTAATATATTGCCTAAATATTTAGGTGCGTTGCAAGTGTGCAACTAGAGATCCTGCAAATCAAACGAGGGCCTTATCCTTCGTGTTCGCATAGCGAACGCAGAAAAGCAGGTTACGCCTTATAAAAGAAAAAGGAACTCGTCAGCAACCGATACCCACCTCTACAGTATAAAACTCTCTCCCCGTCTTATCTTCTCTTCCTCTCTGAAACGTCTCCTCCTTCCGCCCCCCTCGCTCTCCATCCCCTCCGGGCCATCGCCGCCTGAATCCTTCACTAGGGTTAGGGTTTACGTAACGAACCCGCGCCATGGCTACCTTCACTTCCCAGGTCAGCGCGATGGCTGGCGCCTCCCCGTCGTGCTCTCTCTTCGTGAGCCGGCGGCGGCCGGCGGTCATGCCCCTGCAGATGCGGGTTGCTCGTGGCGGGAGGCCGCGCGGGTTGGCGATGCGGGTGACGTGCGAGAAGGTGGTGGGAATCGACCTGGGCACCACCAACTCCGCCGTCGCGGCGATGGAGGGCGGTAAGCCGACGGTGATCACCAACGCCGAGGGCCAGCGGACGACGCCGTCGGTGGTGGCGTACACCAAGGGAGGAGAACGGCTAGTGGGCCAGATTGCCAAGAGGCAGGCCGTCGTCAACCCGGAGAACACCTTCTTCTCCGTCAAGCGCTTCATTGGACGCAAGATGGCTGAGGTAGATGACGAGGCCAAGCAGGTCTCGTATAACGTTGTGCGCGATGAGAACGGAAACGTCAAGCTCGACTGCCCTGCTATCGGCAAGCAGTTCGCAGCGGAAGAGATATCCGCGCAGGTAATTTCCCTTTTCTTATTTATTATTGTAGCTTAACATAAGGAGGCAATGTGTTCGATTGTCATTGGAATTCCATATTGTCCTCCTCCATTGATGATGTTAAAGACTATTTCTTCGTTTATAATAGGGATCCCTTTATAATAAGAAAAGATGAGGCAATTAGTTAACTTATTATGTCTTGGATGAGTTAACGTTTCCAATGGTATATGAAGTGCTGATATTTTCATTTCTGTGAATATTTTGAATTGCTACCGGGATGGTTTTCAATTTCAGTTTCAGAAAAATTTCAGCACCAACCGAAATCACTGAAATTCAGTGAATTTCAGTTTCCATTTCAGCCAAATGACCGAAATATTCACTTGAATTCAATTAAAAATTTGAAAAATTTAAAAAATATTTTGAAAAATATTGGAATTGTTGTGCTATACTGAAATTGCTGAAATATTTTGGCCAAAACGTAATATTTCAGTGTCTGCTGAAATTACTGAAATTCAGTGAATTTCACCGAAATCTCACTGAAAGTGAAAACCATCTACCGCTTTGGCAATTTATTTATGAGAGGTCACTGCTTCAGTTATGTCCATTGTCTTGCAACACCCGTTATGCTAATTGTTACTCCCTCCGTCCCATAATATAAGAACGTTTTTGGCACTAGACTAGTGTCAAAAACGTTCTTATATTATGGGACGGAGGGAGTAAAGTTTAGTCAGGTGTGGACCCTTTTCTTTGTACCCATACAAGTCTAGGGACCTAAAATGTGCATATCTCATGTTTAACTTCAGAGACCTAAGTTGACATAACCATGTGAATTTATGGACTGATGCTATACATGATTCGAATGTGAGTGACTTATTTGGCTTCTACGGTACATTTATACCTTTTCAGGTATTGAGGAAATTGGTGGATGATGCATCTAAGTTTCTGAATGACAAAATTACAAAAGCGGTGGTTACCGTTCCAGCGTACTTCAATGACTCGCAGAGAACAGCAACAAAGGATGCTGGCCGTATTGCAGGGCTGGAAGTTCTGCGCATTATAAATGAGCCAACTGCTGCATCTCTTGCTTATGGTTTTGAGAAGAAAAACAATGAAACGATTCTAGTGTTTGACTTGGGTGGCGGTACTTTTGATGTCTCTGGTATGGCAGAATACCAAATTGTTTTTATCTTTTACATTTATTACTGCTATAAATTCTGAACCACTTGGATAATCATATCACTCTCATATATTACCATAAAAGAACTTTTTAGATGAATCATGGGTGGAATTTCAATACTGAAAATGGCAATGTTTTGTCCTGTTTGGTTTGATTTGTAAAGCAAAAATGGTTTATCTAGAAGTGTGTTGCTTTTACATGCTCCAGTCAGAGAATAATATCTATGAATCCTTGATCGGAGCAATATATTCCACCACTCATTGACAAGAGCTACTTCTAAATAGAATAGCTTTTAGTTAATTCATAAAAAGCATTTGTTAGAACTTACGTTGACAGGATAAGAGCTCTCAAAATATTGAATGTCTACTTGGATAGTTTTCTTTGTTGTTATGTGTTAAAAATAATTACACTGAGGTTTGTAAGAAGGTCATGATGCAATTACCAATGTAAAAAATAGCGTGGCCCTTAAAATATGCTATTGGCGTGCTATATCGCGCTATTAGCGAGACATTGTACATTGATTTATTCAGCGAGGCATTGCTCAAAATGCTAATAGCGTGCTAGTTTTTTCACTGGTAATTACTAGTTTACTACTGATGAAGCAACATTACTCTGCAGTATTGGAGGTTGGAGATGGTGTATTTGAGGTGCTTTCCACATCTGGGGACACACACTTAGGTGGAGATGACTTTGATAAGGTTTGTAATTCCTCTTCTATTGTTCCTGGAAAATTACCACATATTTTAAAATTTGTGAAAGTTCATCATGCACTATTTTGATGCGCACACACCAAATTTCCTGCTCAAACTAGCAAAGTACCCTGCCTTGCTACAGATCCAAAATAGACTAATACATGTTCACGAACTTGAAACAATCCTATATATCACTAAGAA